TTCTTTATGAAATGGAGAGAAGATCATTATCTTGAAACACAATGTGCGCACCAGGCCCAACAAAAGTTGAGAAACTTGCTTAGTAGTACTGGGCCTGGATGACTGATTGGAAGTGGGCTTTGCATGGCCTCCTTGACACCCATACCCACAATCAGCCTCATCCTCATTCTCAAGGTCATAGAGAACCATTCTGCGAGCATTGGGAGTTCACATCCTATCCCACAAGTTCGATTAGACCAATCCTGCTCATCTCCACTGTTCTCACCCAATGGCTCTTCAGGTCTATGCTCCATATCCCCGCATCTACGACGAAATCTTCCAAAGAACCTTATGAAGCCCATGGAACGATCCAGCCATAGATACACTAAGGGTCTGAATTGGCTGTGTGGCCACTACTCATTCCCAAGCTCATGAAGAACCTTCTCTTCACCCCAACCTTCTTGCCCACACATAGACATACATGAAGTCAGGTTGTACCAAACCTGGCACCAAGGACATTCTTTCTCGTGATGCCACCCAAGCTCAAAACCTCATTGGACCTCACCAACACCCACCCAAAAGTAAACCAATAAATTGTGCCAAAAATATGCTCTACCAATAGCATGAATCATGAGGATCAACCAATGTTGTACCCAAATGGTTCTGATCTTCCATTGGGCCACCTAACCATGCACACAAACCCATTCCATGGACCCCATCCTCATTGATTGCCTAGCAAGTTTCCCTCTCACATGGTGCCCATGTGCTCTTGGAGGCCAAACAAACCCAATCAAAGCGCCATCCATATTGCGCTGCTGTCTGGGGCATTTGCTCAATGGCTTGTATAGCAATACAATTTGCTCAAAGTCAGGATCCCAATCTCTCATGCAGGTGTTGCGTCTATGCAGCCGCCTTTGGTCTCAAATGAAATTGCATACATACAGCCACAACCCCAATGCCAGCTGTTTGATGCACCCAATGCTTCATCTCATCTCATCTCATCTCATTTCATCCACATTGGAAGTTCCATTTTCCTATGCTCTCTAGCTATATGCCCATCTCTCTCTTTCATTGGATACCTTAAGCCATCAAATCAAGACAATCTTCCACACTCCATCATTGAGACCATACAGTATAGGTATCCACCCTCACCACATAGAGCCTACAGTATATACAAGTGCTTGCAGGAGCAGACAGTTGTGTCTTCAAACAGACGAGAGGAATATAAGAAGTTGTGGTGGAATTGCTACTCTTACACAGGTAGCTATAATGAAATCAATAATCTTGACTATCTCTAGCACCCGGGCCACTTCCAGCTCGTGGAATTGACAATGAGTCCTCAATCTCCAGCAAGTGGGGCCTGGGCCTAGGCTTCTCTAGGGGGGGGGG